TCAATAATTTATTGATTTTATTGTAGAGTAAACAGCTTAGATATGGGTAATGACATTTTGCAACCGCGGTTCTTGCAGAATTAATTTGACACATAGCGTGGGATCTGCGTTTAGTACATAATATACTAGGGTTATAAGTAAGCTCAAAGTGTTTTCGAAGAACAGTTTGTAAAACAAAAATTTTCTTTACGGATAATACATTACTAAGAGCGTATAAATCCGCCGTGGGGAAATAGATTGGCTTATTGAACATAACTTTTAAAACTGCTCTCTGGGCCCTTTCCAGTCTCAACATTAACGTTTTAGCAGATCCACCCCAACACGTAATGCAGTATGAAATAACGGATTGACACAGAGCATAATATACTATTTTTTGACATTGAAAATCTACCACATTCTTTAATTTCCTGAAAATAAATATGAGTTTTCTTAGTCGCAACGCTACTGAATGGATTTGCTGTCTCCATGTCATATTGCTATCAATTATGACGCCAAGATATTTAACACTGGAACTTTTTTCTAACACGGGACTGTTACACTCTTTAATAGTCAGTGAACAGACGTGAAATAAATAAATATATATATGACGGAGGAGGATTTAGTTCCCTGTTTCTGCTATGAAACCTTATTATTGTTATTATTGTTTAAAGTCACTATGTTATTTAGTTTACTTTTTATTGCTATTTTTATAAATTTCACAATTTATGTGTGAAGTCATTAAGATAGTCGAACTTCTTCCAGATAAATTCCGGGGGACCGGTCCTCATTTTCCATCAAGGTTCCTATCAGATTCTAGCAGTGGCGGAACTGAGCGGTTCACGCTTCATCGCATATTCCCTCAAACCTTATCACGACTGGATATATAATGTGATTTACCAAAAATATTAATTTATAACAAATATTTATTTCTAGATATCAGACATAAGAGTGTCCTTTTGCAATGTTTTATTGTAAACGAATTATAGAGATACTATTTTAAATAAAACTATATTTTCGGATTTTACGCGGATTTATTTCGATTTTTGGTTTCCGACGTTTCGAATGTTTTACAGCAACCATGGTCACGGGAGAGACGGAACCAAAAAATAAAATAAATCCACGAAAAGATAGTTTCATTTAAAATGTCAAATATTCGTGTAAATCTAAGAAATTATTGTAGAGACGCTAATAATTATAATGCAAGGTAAAATGTAAAAAGATTTTTTGATTATAAAATATTATTCGAGTTAAAATAAGAAGTAATTATACTTTTGTCTTTTAAGGAATTTCTCGTGATTCGTTAAACAATACATTAATATTATTATTTCAATAAAATAAGAAAATGTAAAGAAAAATAAAGGAATAAATATTAATTTATTGGCTCGTAGATACTCTCTATATATCTACTTTCACGTAATATATAAATATAGGTAATAATAGTAAATTTACTGTAGGTATAGTGTATATTATATAATAAGCGATTTGCTCTCGCTTCGCTCAGGTGCGTCCAAGGTACCTACCCGGATTTTGTTCACAATTTCATGGGTTTTAATGTTTTTGCGCTGAACCCTAATTCTTTTTTTAAAATAAGAGTAGTAGAACTTTTCACCGTTACTCTTTATAACATCAGCTATCTGCCAGTAAAAGTCTCGTCAAAATCGGCCGTTTCAGAGATTAGCCGGAACTAACAGACGGGCAAAAGTTTTGAAAAATTGTGTTTTTATTATAAGTATGTACTATGTACCTTACACAATTTCATATACATTCAGTAAAAAGCTGTTTTTTTTTACAGTACAAACAAACACTTCAATTTTATTTATCTGTATAGATATAGATTACCTATAAATGTGGCTCTATCTGTTTTGTATTCTGCACATATTATATACAAAAGATTGGCCAGCTAAACTCTGCGTTACCGAGTTTAGCTGTTAACAGGGTGCGCCGGCGACGCGCGCCCAGTCTAAGCTGAACGCTATTTTTTATGCTTGACCATATAGATGTGAGCTCAACTACATTGGAAGCTACTCCGAAACTATCAATTTTTTAAATTTATTGTGTCCATACAAATTTTCAATGATTATCGTTTTACAAAGTATAATATATTTAAGCAAAGTTTCAACCAAATCAATTGAACAGCATTTTTTTTTTCAACAATTGTAAAAATTGAAATTGACATATCTTTTTTAATTTATTAACTGATTAAAATAAAATAAATATGATAATGTTCTCCTAGCCGATTCCGGCCACGGCGGCCAATCTCGATGAGATTAGCCAACTGCGCAGGAGATATTATAGTGCTCAAGTGCACTCTTTATTCCTATCACTCTCATACTCCGGTGGGACGACCACTCGACACGACTGGTGAGAGTTAAGGCGCAGGACCGACGGCTTTACGTGCTCTCCGAGGCACGGGGGTGAAACACCGCCAACTTCCCAACTCCGGGCTGTTACTGAGACTTACTATACAGGAAGACTCAATAACTAAACTTGGCCCGACCCGGGACTCGAACCCAGGACCTCCGGGTGTGCAGCCGTACATGCTAGCCACTACAGCACCGAGGCAAAATAAATATACATATATACAAAATACTATATTTTGAAGTGAAGCCTACCACAATACATCATTGAAAACTGCATCCGAATCTGTTTAGCCGTTTCTGAGATTAGCGCGCACAAACGCGTTTTATATATGACTGCGTTAATAAAGACCCCTAATAATAGTTTTTCTCAAATATCTTCCATGTACAGACAGCGATCAGTTACACTTTTATCATCATAAGTCATAACATAATCATCATAATTTCTATATTTTTCTAAATAGTCTGTCAGTGGTTTAAGTATGTAGAACATGTCTTATCAAGGTATGTAGACATGCAAATTTTCGAACATGGACAACCCGACACTTACGAAGCAATTAACCCTAATTGAAAACATTTAAGTAATTGTCAAAGCATATTCTATTGTTGTAGCGCACGACTCCCTCCAATTGTTATATATAGGTGTAATTAAACAATATATTTTGGAATTTAACAGTATCTTTAAATCGTTTTCATGTCAGTAAATATGTTTATTTTCAAAATAAAATGACTTCACTCGCGTAGCTTATTTTCTCCCCCAAAAATATAAGCAAGCAAAAAAAACTTATATAATACATAATTTTAGTAAAGATATGTATGTATAATATACACACGTTTTTTTATTAAAAGAGAATTCAATTAAGAACAAAGCGAAATGAGACTACCAATAACTAATTACTTAATGTTTTAGCGCTGATCTTACTGAGTTCATAAATGCTCTTTTAAAAAATGTAGTATTTACTTTATATTATTAATGGTTTTTGATCTAAACATAAATGCAAATGAAGTCATTCATGTATTCAGTCATTGATCACCGGTGCGTGCGCGCGCGCAGCAGCAATTACTTAATTACTTTCACGCTTGCGCAACGACGTTGTACGGATGTTACTTGTGTATCAACTTTCTTTTTAACAGTTTTTTACTAGATCTCAGAGAAGTGGCAAAATTTGAAATCGCAATTGTGGTCCACATCTACTAAATTAACAAAAACACAAGTTTGACAAGTATAAGGCTTATAATATACTAGCGGACCCGACAGACGTTGTCCTGTCTACACGTCTTTAATTTGAAAATTTCAAACTTTTTTTAATAATTTTTTGATGAAAATTATTATTCAAATTGTGAATCTAAACCATTCCCAGATCCCCTTGAACACACACAAAAAATTTCATCAAAATCGGTCCAGTCGTTTGAGAGAAGTTCAGTGACATACACACTCACAGAAGAATTATATATATAAAGATTAACCGACAAATAATAATTAAGAAGCCGAGCATTTTTTTTTAGAAATGTTGAAAAGAAATTTGTTTCTAATTAAGCTTAATTATTATAACTTTAAATAATTTTAACGATATAATACCGAATCCAAAAAAATTGTTGATATCGAATATATTGTTATAAATTTTAACGGCTTTGTCACGTTTTCTGTAGCTGAAAGGTAAATACGAAACTTATAATTTCGTCCTATCGGTCTGTCTGTATGTCACAGTTATTTTACTGAGATAAGAGAGATTTTGATACTATATCTAGAGAATGCTGAATTTGCAAGTAAGGTGAAACGTTAAACAATTTTGTAGTTAAATAAAGAAAAATTAAAAAAAGACAGATTTAGTATCCATACATGTTAATTTTATATCATGATGATTATTAATAGATATCATTATTCATTGCTATGTTTTTTGTTGTCTTTACGTATGTATTATATAAATTGATATTATGTAAATATTACCCATTAAAAGTCGAAATATTGTATATGTACATATCGATTTTGAATGTTTATTATTTTGGAACTCTCTCGGTGCGCAAAAATTACATAGTAAAATGGATTTATACTAGGTAGTGTTTTATTGTTAGTAAAATAATTGAAGGTAAAGTTGTTGCTAAATCTAATAAAAGGAAAAAACACTAACAATAAGATGAGCAACATAATGTGAGCCGACCCTCTATTGTGCCCTACCGTGCTCTACTGCACTCGAGGTCGAACTGAATTTTTTACATCATGCAAGCATACTGCATCAGAAACACTTATGTTTTAAAATCTATCTATGTTATTAAAAATAAGTGGTTAAGTATAGACATGATTTCTTAAACGTGAGCTTATATTCAATTTGAAGGGCAATTTGTTGCACGAAATGTTATTCTAAAAATTAATTTAGAAAAAAAATATTTAAATGCGATTTTAAAACTAAGATCCTAATCAATATTCTAATAGTGCTTAATAATGTTATAGGTATAAAATAAAAAAAAAACAAATCACCGGCTCATCTCACAATAAAATATAAATAATAACAGATGATATAATTTGTAAATACAATCACGTAACCCCAAATAGTAAATTTGATAACGAAACAAGTGAAATTGCGTGACGTCAGCGAAGAAAGTCTCCACACCGGCAGTCGGGCGATATCAGTACGCGGCTCACCGGCGACGCGACGACATGGCCGCATGATGTCTTTCCAACGACTTATGTTCGCGGCCCGCGCCGCCAGGGACGCTCTCACACGAGCTGCTCCTCTGGCAGATGCTGTCATAAAATCCCTTATATCAGTCATAGTTATCTGCTGCATCGCCGTCTCATCCCCCCAGTCGGCTTCGGCGAAACCCTTCGCTTTTAGTTTCCCGGCGAGCTGGTCGCTGGCAGGCTTGGTGGGCAGTGTCGGTGCCAGGTCTGAAGTGGAAAAGAGAGACGCTGGTGTGAAGCCCTACACTGGGAGACGAGTGGGCAACGATACTCTTCGCATGATCTATTACCATGATCAGACTGTCGCCGTTGTGGAGCTAGGGGAGGACAAGCTGCTTCTCAACTGCGAGCTCATCGAGACATTGTAAGTACTTCCTATTTTCTGCTCTCCTTATATTTCATTCGTATTTGTGAATGTATATAAAACTATAAAATTGAACGGATTCGCGATTAAATTTACGACATTTCTTGCTATATTTTAAATATAAACTATTTTAATAAATACATTTATTTAAATATAATCAATACTAATAATATAGAAATACAGATATTGTGTTAAAATAAAGTTTTTAAGCTTTTAAAATCTACGCTGTCTTAAATAGTATTTCTTCTATTTTATGTCATATGCAAAAAAACAGGTTCAATAATTGAACTCAGTACCTCCAGCACCGTGATAATTATAAATACTGAAATTACTAAAAGTTGTCATTTATAGTGAAAGCAAAAGAGCTGAGAGAGAATGAAATCTGTGTTATTTCTTTGAAAATTATTATTAAATATGACAAAAGTAGAGCCAAAAGGTCGTTGTCCTGGGGTAGGTCTGCCGAAAATTTAATCATATTTTAACCAATTGTACCTGTCACGAATGATGGCAAGAAAAATGTGAACTCTATTATAGAGGCCTCAAGAGTTGCATTTGATGTGTGACGATAACATAATAAAAGTTTGCGCATTTGCCGTTCGCGAATATATAGCGGATGCTCCCATTAAGATTGACTGGGAATAGCTAGTCGGTTATGGGTGTCTTTAAGGCATTTTGTCATCTATTGAAAATATCTGACTCTAAAAGTGGCTTGAGATTTTGTTCCATTTTTTTTTGTACGAAAGCGAACTTTCAATATAAATCCATATACGTTTGGACGACGTATTTGACGACACGGTTGGCTCAGCTCAGTGTACTTCCTGTGCCAGAAGTCGCAGTTTCGAGTCCCGCTGGGTTTCTACTCCAGTCATTGGTTTTATATTATAATATGTATGTATTTAAAGTTATATATGTGTAGTGTATCAACTATCTGGTAACCATAACACAAGCCTCGTAGCTTACCATGGAACTAGATGGTGCTGTGTGTTAATGTCCCAAGACATTTATTTATATTTATATTCAATATTATTGTATCGAAAATCATCTCTTAGACGTACCTACATTACATATATACATGCGGATTATTTTATATACTTTATGATCAATTCGATATTTTTATACTTATATTTTTATATATTAGTGTTATAATGTTTAACGATAATACCTACTTAATAAAAACTTAAAAAAACCGACTTCCAGGCACTATAATGTACAAAATAACTAAACGGAGGTTTTCATTTAGAATAGATTCCTAATCAGATATTTTCGAAGTCGGTGCCAGCCAATCAATGCAAAGCAAATCTAATATATTTCGATACGTAAATTCCTACATATTTACCTATTAGATATTCATATCTTAAAATATTGTAGGCTGGCACCGACTTCGAAAATATCTGATTAGGTATCTATTCTAAATGAAAACCTCCGTTTAGTTATTTTTTACATTTTAGTGCCTGGAAGTCGGTTTTTTTAAGTTTTTATTTTTCTATTTTTAGTGCAGACGTAATAAGCAGGTAATTTGTAAGAAGAAAGTTTTTTAATAACATATTCGATTAAACAATTTATTTAAAAAATATATTTATTGTTGATTTTTTTAAAAACCGCTCGAGGGATTTCGATAAAATTTATATGGGACCACCTGGGAAGTATACCCTTTGAAACAAAAAAATAATAATTTCCAAATCGGTTCAGGCGTCTTCGAGTAATCGGTAAACATACATAAAAAAAAAGATTCCGACGGATTGAGAACCTCCTCCTGGTTTTGGGAAGTCGGTTAATTAGGTGAATAGGTTATGTTTATTTATAGGCTATAAATCATAATTTTATTGTCTACGGCTATTAAAATAGTATTCTACGCAAGATATTAAACAAATAACGCTTTAAAATAACAAAATCTTACGTTAAAACGTAAATTTCTTGTTTTACCATTTTTTCCACGAAACGTACTTAAGGGATAGAAATAAAATTATATTAATTAAAAAGTACGAGTATCACGTCAAACAACTTACAACTGATTTCACATTTTGCCTTTTTCTAATTATTTTAATAAGTGCAAAATAAACTTAATTGGCTAATTAACTCTCGACGGAAAATTAAGTTTATGTTATTATCTTGAACTCGTTGTATGACGGTTTGTCTGTGATATCCTACCAAAAGGGATCGATTCGGATGCAGTTTTTTTAATAGAAAGTTAGCGTGGCTGAGTTAACGCTTTGTAAAAAATATAACTAAAGAACCACTCGGACTGTTCATTAGCTGTTCAAAAATATGATTTTTTCTTAAGAGAAAAGCATTTAAGATGGAGGATTTTTTATTTTTCTATAGTTATATAGTGTATATTACGAATATTGGTACGTTTTTATAAAAGTAACGGTCTTAAAATAATATTAATAGCCTTGAAAAGATGCTGCTACTAGGATAGTCTGCAGATTACCCAATGTCTTGAAAGTTAAACTAATAGGCATGTAACGTTTAGAATTAATGAGTAGATATCGTAATGATTAAATGGAAAAATGATGATGATAATGATCAAATTCTCATATACATATAAAATATTTAAAATGATTGTAGTAAACTCACATAGACAAGTGTTGATAATAAAATAAATATAAACTTTTTACTTTTTAAAATATAATTTTGTAAGTTTTGAACATTTTTGTATTATTAACTATAAACTTTAGAAGTATTTAAAAAGCTCATATCATGCAGATGCAAAATACGTGTACCAATATATTTAATCGTAGTAAAATTATCGCGCAATCAATACGATAGTTTCGTGACGGTATCATTATTTTAGCGGTCTCTATAGTTATTGTAGATTAGCATGTTTTATTTACTAATACTATTAATTTGCCAATTAAAATCTAATAGTATATACTAACTATGACTTCTTGCGTGATTATTTACAATATAAATAGTATTTAATATTTATTACACGTCACTACAAACCATTACATAATCATACGTCACAAAAATAAAGAAACCCGACTGCGTAAAAAGCGAGCTAAATAGATGAATACAAGTTGACGAAGAAATATAGTATTATGCAGTCGGAGACATACATTCATTGTACATGTTTTATACTAGTTGCAAGACTTGTATTCCCTATCCTAACTTAACCCTCTTTTGCGTTTCGCCGCAGTTGAGTGAAAAGTGAAAATCGTACTAGTAGAGTTAAGGACTAAGGTTTTGTTGTAGAGCTGAGGTATTATTGTATCGAAAAACAAAACTCTTAGATAAACATTTTTTGAACATTCTGTGTTAAACTTTTTTAAATATATTTAGGAATAGTCTGGAGGAATAGTCCTCTTGCCTTGCTCCCGCTCAACACCCTAGGGAGCTGGGTGTAACTGAAAATCAGCGCTGCTTGAGATTTCGGTCTTAGCAGCATTAGCTGAGTTATTACCCTTTGCCAGTTATTTTAAGCTTTACTGATTCTGTTAACTCTTTTACTGTTTTTTTATAGCAATAAACACTTTTTTTTATAAATATAGACGTATATGTATAAGTTTTATTTTGTGCTATATTTTCAAGAAACATTAATAGCAGAATGTTCATGTTGAACACATGACGACTTCAAACTTAAATTGATGACAGTGTACAGACTAACGACGTATTGCATTTCCTACGTGGAAATGGTGTCCTTCGTGAAGTTTACATCATTCTGATGACGATGTGGCGAAATATTAGTTATTTTTAGCTTTACATACATTATTTTTTAATGATGATTACATTTTTTAGAGTTGGATACTTTTTTTTATGAAAACGAAACAAAAAACTAAATTAGTGATTGTTTTTTGCAGGGGAAGTACATATATAGCTATTTTTTTGGATCCCAGGTATCCTAAATTTTATCGAAAAAGGATTTATTATTATTAATAGTTTATTTATTAAAGCTAAATAGATAGTCTATCTCTATATATGATCTGTTTTTATTATTACACTAGTGACTCACCCTCACTTCGCTCGGGTTCGTCCCTAGGTTGATTTTCATCCCCATTTTCACCCCCGATCTTCTAAGGGGATTTCCGGGATAAAAAGTATTCTATGTCCTTCCCAGGGTCTTAACCTATTTCCTTACCAAATGTCATCTAAATCGGTTCAGTAGTTCCAGAGATTACCTCCTACAACGTCACAAACTTACAAACTTTACCTCTTTATAATATTATAGTATAGGTCATTAGTTACATTAATTATTGTAATAGTTATAAATATAAGTATATGCTGACAGTGATTTAAAACGAGGCAATCCACACCGCTAATAAGGTAGTGCAGTACAAGAACAGGTTGCGAGTGAATAATTTAGTACATCACTATGACATGACGTGGCTTTACAGCCGTTTTCCACTTTTATAATATCATAAGGTTTTCAATTCTTAAGTTATAACATGTACATACATACAATTATTTATAGAACCCCAATGAATGTTTAGAGAACAAAATTAAAACATTATTAGCATTTATCAACAATCCAATGCGGATAAAACGTCGATATCAAAACTATATGTTTTGATATCGACAAAAATATAATAAAATATGTTTTTACAATTTACTGTGATTTATTGAAAGTTTAATAAGACTTCTATTTGCCCGACTTCAAAAAAGAGGAGGTGTTTAATTAGTCTCTCTTGATTATTTTTTTGTAGACTTTTTAAGCGATATCTTTGCTAACAATCATCCATTTCCATCTTTTTTCTTAATGATTTCGTGGTATTACGGGTTATCCAATATAGATTAATATATATAATAAAAATACAGAAACAATGTATGAAACATAAATGTTTTATACTCTTTGTTGACATGCATATATCCGGTAGGATTCTACCAATTATACACACATACATACATACATACCGGTCAACTACCTAACTCTCTCCTTTGGGCTTTGCCGCAGTTGGGTAAAAAAGAGCCCATCGATCCGGCAGCTAATAGTCTAAGTTATTGTTTGATCGCAGAAGTATTACTAATAAAACATTTACAATATATTACTTTCTAAAATAACC